ATTCATGAGGTCCATGAACACGACTGGTGCATTGGTGAGCCCAAACGACATCACCACAAACTCCTAATGACCATAGCGAGTCCTAAAAGCTTTCTTCTGCACATCATCGTCCCTGAATCGCATCTGGTGATACCCTGACCATACATCAATCTTGGAGAATCAATATGCTCCCTGGAGATGATCAAACAAATTATCTATCCTCGGAAGTGGGTAACGGTTCTTCACATTTACCTTGTTCAGCTCCCGGTAGTCTATACACATGTGATGCGTCCCGTCCTTTTTCTTCACATACAGGATCGGGGCTCCCCATGGAGAACTGCTCGGCCTGATGAAACCCTTGTCTAGCAGCTCTTGCAGCTGTGTAGAAAACTCTTGCATCTCGGTAGGTGCCAACCGATATGGTGCCTTGCCTATCAGAGCCGCACCGGGGACTAGGTCAATCCTAAACTTGACCTGTCTCTTTGGAGGTATCGTAGGTAGATCCTCCGGGAATACATCCAGGTACTTTTGCACTACCGGTACATCATCAACTGTCGCCTTACCCTTATCCCAAGTATCAATCACATACACGACATAACCTGTGCAACCCTGCTGAAGGTAACGCCAAAACCTCGCTGCTGAGCATACGACTGGTCCGCACTGTGGCCTCTCGCCCTGAATCATTAACCCTCACCCACTAGGAATCCGAAACCTCAGTAGCTGCCGCTCGCAGTCGATCACTGCCCCATTGGGGCTCAACCAATCCATACCGACTATAACCTTATTACCTCGCAGGGGAATAGGGACTAGATCCACAGAAAAGTGCTTATCAAACAACTATAATGTACATCCTTGGTGAACCCTAGCAACCCTGACGGTCCTATCATATGTTATCTCGACATCAAGTGGGAAATCCAGCTCCCCTGGAGTTCCTACAACTCGCTTGCTGAGTGCGAGCGACAAAAAAGATCTCGTGGCACCCGAATCGAATAGTACCAAAGCTGATATACCGTTCACTAAGAACGATCTTATAAAAAACACAGAAATGTAAGTAACAAACAATATCAAATAGTAAATAAGAGAAAGATACATACCCATCACCATGTCAGGCGCTGATCGTGCCTCCTCAGCTATCAAATGAAAGGCTCTAATCTTGGCCACCGGTGCCTCTCCCTGACCCTGGCGGCTGTCTGCGATCCTCAATGTTGTAGGAGCGGGTGCTGCCACCTTCCCTGCTGCTACTAAACTTGGACACTGAAACCGTTTGTGTCCTACTAATTACACGGAAAGCAAATCAGATCTGATGATGTGGTGGTGGTGGTAGTAGTTGTACAATACCTGCTCATATGCCTAGTTCGTCCACACTTGAAGCAACTGAAACTCCCTGCCTTGCACACCCCATTGTGCAACTTGCCGCATTTGCCACAACGGCTGCGGCTCTGCTGGCTCCTACACCTATGGTAAGACACGTTGGGCTTCTTGCCTGAACTCTCCATGCCAGGCACCACCTCTGGCTTCCTCTTCCTCTCCATCTCTAAATCAATCTCTCTCTCTCTCTCTCTCTCTCTCTCTCTTACGAGCCCTCGCTATCATATCCTCCATCGTCCTGTAGCTAGAGCGGCTCACAAACTGTATGATATCGCTCCTCAATATCTCATTATATCAAGCCTTTTTCATTTCCTCATCTGCCATATACTGTGGAACGAGAAGGGCCCTCCCTTGAACTTGTTAGTGATCTCCGCCACTGTCTCAATTGTCTGTCGTAAATCCTGGAACTCCCTAGCTAGCTGTTACACCTCTATCACGGGTACAAACTTGACTCTGAGCCTAGCTGAGAAGTTATCCCAGGTCATGGCATCCAACACTGTATCATCACCAATGGCTCATCCAACCTCCTCCCACCAATCGTGTGCCCTGTCCTTCAGAAGACAGGACGCAAGTCGGTCATTATCCCCCTCGGGACATCTACTGGTGTGGATGCGTTGGCGACATCTTCCAACCATCTGGTACTCACAATGGGGTCCCGAGCCCCATGATAGTCGGGAGCTCCGCATGCTCTGAACTCCCGAAAGGTAAGTGTGCGCGACCCCATCATGGTTGCTATCTCAGTGCGGAAAGCGCTCAGGTTCTCATCCAGAAGCTCTAAAATACCCTCCTTGACCGATCCAAAGATCACAAGAGTCTACTCTAGAATGCTTCATGTAACCTCATCTGAAATAAACTCCCTCTTCTGCTCATCCATATGCTCGGATCCAGAGCCCAAGCCTGATCCCTCACCAGTGCCTGAAGTGCTAGTCGGCCTAGGGCGTAGAACCACCATACTGAAAATAAACCATAACAAATATCAGTATACTCATTAATGCTCGAGGGATCTAACATACTATAAGTTCCTTGGATTCATCTCAGCCTTCCTTGATTCGATTACGGATGCTCTGCTTTCAGTAGTATGGGCCCATACTACCTTTCACATCTACCCGTACTATCCTCAAGAACTGCCTCGACTCCACCAAGTCCCTTCTACTACTACTGTTGATCTCATGCTAAACTCATCCTAGGATTGCCCTAGGGTAATCACCAACCCACTTTATAATTCTTCGAATGAGAGATCCTACCCTATAATGGTTGGACTCAAACAAGAGTTGCACAATAGAACTAGACCTAACCTTCTGAAATGATCTAATCCTCACAATATGTAACGTAACATATTCATTTACTAGTTAGTAAAAGATAACTAACACTCCTAAAAGCACAAAGCAAGCAACATTCGATCACCGAGTAAGCATAATCAAGCATATATCTTTTAGGCTATCCCTGGCTAATTTGTACTAGCATGTAGTTCATAAAGCTGAGATACGTAGAACAGGCACATAAGGTATCCTTCCTAGACCCTTAGTCCGAAACTAGCATGCAATTCTCATAAACTGATACACATACAATAGGCACATAAGGCATCCTTCCTAGATCCTTAGTACTAAACTAGCATGCAGTTCTCATAAACATATCATAACATAAACTTGTAAGGGTAATTTAGGAGTACTTACTTGAGCTCGACTAATTACATGAACCACACCCTTTTGTCTTTTCAAAGTTCTTTTGTCTTTTCAAATTCTTTTGTCTTTTCTTTTTATAAAAATGATTTCCTTTTGAAAAATTTCATATCATGTCCTCAGTTTGAGTTCAGACACACCTGAGAGTGTGCCCGAATCCCTATAACCAAGGCTCTGATATCAACTTGTAACACCCCAAAAATACAGACTAATTTTTTTAAAATCATTTATAATAAAACCATAAGTCATTCATCATCATAAAGAAAACCATAAGTCGTGTATCTCAAAACATCGTATCAAAATCATATAAGAAAAAAATCAGATTCTAAACATCCCAGGATCAAACTGTGGTGTGTGCCATGCGATCATCCCTAGCCCTTCCCCTTGCTAGTGGAAGTACCTGAAACCAAAACTAAAAACCATAAGCACCAAGCTTAGTGAGTTCCCCCATGCTACATACCATACAAATAATCACAAACTGGGCCTAGACTATTACATCGAGCCTCGCCCGACATCGGATGAATATGACATCGGGCCCCGCCAGACATCCGACTGAGGTTCGGCATAACTTAGGCCTATCCCCTGCATCGGGTCGTGCCCGACATCAGACCGAAGTCCGATATACATATCATATCAACAAGCATAACATAAACATAACATGAAAGCTAACATTCCTCGGGCTTTCCCTGACATCAGACCAAATTTCGAAAAACATAATCAGACACATGCAAGAATCACAAAGACATCAAGCATACTAACTTCCTCGGGCTTGCCCCGACATCAGATCGAAGTCTGAAACATAAAATCTACATCGGCTAACCCCGACACATACAATCACACATCAACGGTCTGGCCTTGGTGCCTTAGACCCATTCCTATAAGGGAAGACTCACCTCGCAAAGCTGTTTGCAAAAACTCACGGTGAAGAATATCTGATAGCTGCTCCAACGAATCCCCGACTATCAATATTACAATAATGCTTAGTCAAAACCTAATAATCCTTCTCAGGGTTAACTGACCATTTTACCCCTGGTCAAATCCAATATCCTGGTCAAAGTCAAAGTCAAGGTCAACTCCCAATCAACCCCAACTCATCGAGTCATCTCCCAACTCGGCGATTTCATGAAAATTTTTAGACCCGTGGTCCACTAAGTCAACTCGTTGAGTCCCTTCCCAGACTTGTCGAGTTCTTCCTGTTATAACATCGGGACATGTCGTCTTCAACTCGTCGAGTCCTTCTTTGGACTCGTCGAGTTCTTCAGCTTCCGAGTCCTAATCTTTTCCAACTCACTGAGTCATCTCCCAAAACTCAATGGTTTCACTCGCAACCAGAAAAGCAGTTAGGGTTCACGACCCGACTCGCCGAGTCCTCCATGTGACAAATCCATTCAGTCGATTCTAATCCATTCTAGTGTTTTTAACTCATAGATCTAGACTCCTTAGACTAACATTACATGTAAAGTTGCTAACTTTACGTGCATGCATGGTGTTATGAAGCTAAAACACCCAATCCATACAAAAATGAAGGTCTAAGTCATAGAATGGAGCCATGGTTGAATAAAGGTGGCAACTTTGAGCTTCTAAATCTCAAGAGTGCCCAGATCTGAAGTCCTTACATCGCCAAAGGTCTAAAACTCGGAATAACCTTGGAAATGACCCACAAATGACAACATCGAAGCTAAGAAAGGGATCTAAGTGAATAACAGCCAATGTATAAGCTTTATACTTCTATGAAGATAGAAATGATTCCTAAGCTCTATATCTTTGACCTTCCTTCAGCAACTCCAAGCCTTTTTCTTCCTTTTTCTAGCTTTAATCATAAAAATGGAAAGAGATAGCTCAAGATCACTCAAGGTTGATTACGGTTTCGAGATAGGGTTTGGGGGGTGATAAAGGTTGGGATGGAGGCCAAATATGATGCTTAAATAGGGTGTAAACCCAAAAGATTAGGGTTTCATCAACCTGACCTTAGGGATGAGCAGCGGAAGCGGGTACTTGCTTTTGGAACCGGAACCGCCTCGGAACTGCCGGTTCTGGAACCAGAACTGCCTTAGGCGGTTCCGGTTCCGGTTCCTAAAGTCTAGGAACCGCCTTAAGCGGTTCCGGTTCCAATTCTTATTTTTACGAAACCGATGCCCGCTGGATACCCGCCGGTTCCGGTTCCAATACCGGGTACCCGGAACCGGCGGTTACCCAGAACCGGTACCGACGGGTACCCGCCTTTGTATTAAAAAAATATTTAATTTCTATATTTTGGTTTTTAGGGCACCGATTGCAAACGTAATTCGTTTTTAGGGTATATGATTTTCATTCTAAAAAAACCGCCGTCTTCTATTCTCGTCAATCTCCTCTCTCCCCTCTCATCGTTATGTTCAATCCAAGATTCAATTGGCAATTCAAGGTCAGATTCTCAAGGTCACTTCCCTCGTCTCCCTCAATTCGAGTTCGTATCATGTAACCCTCCCTCAATCTGTTCTCCCTGTTCAATCGATTCGATGGTTTTCCTCGACTCCTGCTCATGCCGACGATCGCCGCAACTACAAGTCTTTATCTTCAAGTCTTCATCGAAAGGTTTAATTGAAGGTTCATCTGTTATGTAAGTTCTTTTTATGTAGTTAGAACAAGGTTTAATCAAATTAATTGTTTTTTTTTGTGTACTCAGAACTCAGAAGACTGCAGACGCGGGTGAAGGCGGAGAGGGAGAGACTTCTATTCTCCATCGACGAAGTCCGACAAAATCGAGTAAGCCTTAAATATTGTTTTCTCTCTGGAGTTCCATTTTGGTTTACACATGAAAAAAATTAACAATATGATCTTTCCATTATTGTTAGGGTTTGTGATTCATCTGTTTGGTTACCAGGTCTACCTGAAGTGAGTAACTCATACATCTAGTTTGGATTACCCTTAACACATACATCTAGTTTGGATTACCCATTCATTTTTATTTTTATATGCTTTTCAGGTGGATTACCAGTTCATACATGAACTGAGTAAGTCTTACATATTGTTATGCTCTTTCTTTAGCTTCATCCACTAGCAAATCCTACAAAACATATACCAGGGGCAAAACTGGAAATTTAAATATGATCATATCAACACTTACAATACAAATTCTAGGGGCAAATATATGTCATTTTAACTAGTAAAACATCACAATAGAGATACACCCTCCTACTATATATGTGTGGTTTAGTTCCTACCTTTTAAGTCAAAATGAATGAGCTAATAAGTCATACTTCAAAAAATTTGTTCAAAAGCTTTGTTTCATAGGAAAAATATTTCTAGATTTGATGTTGATTGAAAGAGCTAACAATCTTTTGATGAAATCTGTCATAGAACTTGTCCTATTGATTTGAAGGAAAGTTACGATATATCTTGTACTTGTTTTTTACAGGTAAAAGGACATCCGTTCTTTAATGGTGTAATCTGAGATACCCTTGCCATTTAAGAGGTGGGTGATGTCATTTCCATTTTCCACAGAATTGGTGTTAGTAATTTATTTTTTATTTTTTCTAAATTTGAATATTTATATATAGGTTGCTTTTATACCACAACCAGATGGCATAGATGATACTAGTTATTTTATTTCAAGATAAAGTTGTAGTTCAACTGAAACACCTAATGATCAAGACTGTAGTGATGCATCTTTAGACATTACTGAATTCTGTTTAGACTACTAGAGAGACACTAGAGAGGTACACATTTATTTTCTGTTTATTTATTATACTAAATTTGTTTGGTAAGACATTTATATTTATTTATTTTTTCAGAAGACAGATGTATTTTTCAGACATTGTTGCTGTTATGTGCTGTTGCTGTTTTTGCTATTGTGTGTTGTTGCTGATTTGCGTCGGTTCTTAAGCTGTTGTTTTTGCTGTTTGTAGTTTGCTGATTTGTTGTTGCTAATTTGTGTTGTTGCTGATTTGTTGTTTCTATTTTATAGTTTGTAGTTTGTTGTTTATAGTTTGTAGTTTGCTATTTTTATTGTTGTTGTTTTGGCTATTTCTATTGTGTTATTTAAAAGTGGGAAATGTTTTTAGTAGCTTGTTATCTAAAAGATCAATTTTTTGTAAATGTTTTGGTACTATATTTTGTAATTATATTGTTTGTATAGGTTAATTTAGATAATTTGCATGGCATGTATAAAATAACAAGTTTTAATACTCGAAAAGTCGGGTACCAGGAACCGGAACCGGTTCCGGGAGCAGTTCTAATTTTCTAGGAACCGGTGTAAGCGGTTCCAGTTCCAATTCCAAAAACTTAAGAACCGTCGGTTCCGGGAGCGGTTCCGATTCTAGCAAAAAGAGGCGGGTACCCAGTTATGCTCATCCCTACCTGACCTACTCATCAAGTAGCTCACTTAAAACCCGCACCTTTTCTGCCTTCTACTCGGCGAGTTAGGGCCACCAAATCATCGAGTAGCCTTTCAAAATTAAATAAATAATAAGGTTAAAATGCGTACTAGGAACCAACCGTTACGTAACTCAATATAAGAACATAAGACCCTCCGGTCGATAAATCAAATAAGACCACCCTCCGGTCGATAAATCAAATAAGACCCTCCGGTCACACAGTATTACCACTCATGTAATATAGTGAGAAGACTCACATCATAGAGTAAAGCAATTTATCCTACACTCAAACTGTTGGTCTAGACTCCACCCATCCATAGCCTCCAAAATCCACAACTTAACCACAACCCTAAAGTCAACTAAAGTCAACAGTCAAAGCTGACCCAACTCGTCGAGTGCAACTCATGAACTCGCCTAGTTCCTCAGTACTTAGTAAATCACGAAAACCCAAGTCAACTCGCCGAGTTGCTAGCCAACTCGTCAAGTCCATGTATAGTCCAGAAGATTGGGGATAAACCCTAGCCACTCGTCGAGTTGTCCCACCAACTCGTCAAGTTCACTCTGAATCCAAAAAGAGGAAAACTCAACTCAACTCATCGAGTTTTTCAACCCTTTCTCATAAAACTCATTCCAGTTGATTCCAATACTCCAAACTCTGGATCCAACCTCGTAGGATGAAATTACCACGTAAAGTTGCTAACTTTACGATCATGCAAGGTCTCACAAGGCTAAAACACCCAAAACTAAGCTCAAGAAGGGTGTAGGACATGAAGACGGTTAAAAGCTTCATAAAGCTTAAGGCTTTATGTACATGAGGGTTTAGAGGAGTCCAGATCTGAAACTACTCCCCTATGGACAAGCTCAACCCGAAAATGGCCCTCATTTGTACCAAAATACCCATAAACTCACACAAGAAGAGATCTAAGAAATGGCAAGCCAAGTTAAGAACTTTTTACCTCCAAATAGATGCTACAACTGTATGAATGTTGGATCTAAAGACTCCTTGTTCCAAGCTCTTCACTCTTGAAGCTTCCTCCAAGAATGCACATTTTTGGCTTCACACACTCAAAATATGGGCTAGCTCACTCGGGTTTCTCTCTGGACATGATAGGGTGATGAGGGAGGCGGGGTAAAGAGTTAAAGTCCTTTAAATAGGGTGCAAACCCGAATAATTAGGGTTTTCTCTAAACAGCCTCAACTCGTCGAGTCCAGCTCTCCAACTTGACGAGTAGGCTTCATGACTCGTGCGTCCAGACCAACTTCTACACACTGAGTTGGGCCAACCAACTCGTCGAGTAGGCCCTTCAACGTGCACAAAATCCTCAAGTCCCACATTCCAGAATCGGGGTGTTACAAAATCTTCATTAGGTAGGTACATAACATTTTATAGTAACTGTAAATGTAAACACAATACTTTTTTTGGGTTTTTTGTTGACTTGAATGTAAATAGCTAGTAATGTGTAAATTTTATTGTAGTAAAAATGCACGTGTTTTATTTTTTCAATGTTATTTATATACGTATTTAACATTTAAAAAATCTAAAGTTAAAGGTGATCACTTAAAACAATTATTGGGAAATGAATTCTCATAATTGTAATGGTTAATTTATTATTTGACTTCAAGTTAGGGTGTTCGGTATTTCATTTAAAAACAACTTATTGACTTATGGCTCCTTGAAAAGCCAATAAGTCAAAAAAACGTGTTTGTCAATATGAAAGGGACTTTTAAAATAACATTTAATTAACCCTTCAAAAATGAGATTTCAATAAGTTAATTATGATTTCTAACTTTTCAAAACTCTTTATAACTTTTCGGGTTTTAAAAGAGAAATATCCCTTAAAACATGTATAAAGCTAAGACAAACAGTTTATCAAAAATAATTTATTGATTTATTAACTTGGGTAGTTTGAACCGATTTACTGGACATGGATAGTTTGATTTGACTTAGCCCGTTAAGGTACATATCAAATAAAAAACCAGTATGACATTTAGCCATCGTTTTCGGCCGTTGCATGACTTGTCACGTGTTTTTTCATGTTAGAAACATCAATATAAGATTTAATCACATAAAATGAAACTTCAAACACCATATGTATTGCTTAATAACCGATACAAGGTAAATGCACATGTAAAATAACAAAAACCATTGGTAAAGATGACATTTGTCCACTATTTTATGCAGTCGCACTAATTATCACTTCTTTTTATGTGAAATCGACGTGAATGTGTGAAGTCTGATATGCAATGGTGACTCGTTTTCAGTAAACCGTCGTGGAAACAATCATGTGATTTAGTTTATGAGCTTTAGTGATGAGAAAAATGAAAACCAAGACCACCTAGTTTTCAAAAACCGATGTCATAGCTCAGTTTTGTACTAGCGAGGTCTAGCGCTCCCATGCAAAGAGCTCCCATGCAAAGAAGAGACCTTCATTGAACTAGAATTTGTTGAAAGAAGGTGACTTACTTTGCGTTGTCATTGTAAACAACTAGAATCTTTGACTTTTGGGCTTTGTAATTACTGAGCATCTTGGCAAAAGTATATTAGCTAGATTACGTTGTTATATGTATGGGTTGAATAGATGGTTTGTTGATTTCCCTATTTATGTCCAATAAGATGTATTATGATTGTGGAAATTGCAGCATTTATTAATTTCTAGTAGTGTTAAATGAATTTTCTTTACATCAACATTGTAAAAATCTATAGCTTTTTCACTTGTTTGTAAATATCGAGAACCATTTATATAACATGTTACTAGAGTGGATCTATAAAAGGTTTCACATATTCTTCATCTTTAGATGTGTGACTTACACTAAAAGAATAAAGTATTCAGAGATGATGAATTTTGTCGCTAAACGAGGACAGGTTATCGCTAATTATCTACAACGATGACAGTCTCCGCTATTGATTTGTTGTTGTAGCCTCGTCCCTACACGTACCTATTGCCTTGAGTGTAATGTCGTTGCTTGTGTATAGCATCAACAATTTTAGTTGCTTAGATACAACTCTTATGCTAATATGCGTAATTTTTTTTGGAATAAAGCTGCAAGTCCTTGAGCTTCACCTTGAAGAGAGGAAACTTGGTCAAACTCCAACCTATATGCTGCTTAAAATAGTGAATGACATACAATAATGTTTGTTATTTCATAGACCTAAAAATCTGATTATAGGCAGCGGAATCAGGATTATGTAATAAGGGGGCTTACACCATAATAGATACATAAAATAAAAAAATTAATACTTACAGGCATACGGTGTTTTCAAACGGTATTACAGTTACTTAATAATATTAAATGAAAAATTAATTAAACAATATAATGTTATTAAAAATAAAAAAGCTCAAAATTTATAATTGTCATATATGATATGATTTTCTATTTTTTCTATGGAAGGAAATATAAAAATGAATATAACAAAATTAGCTATCTTAAATTTTTAAATAACTTGCAAACGATTATGAAGTTATAAATTAAAATTAACATACAGAACATGTTACTAGCTTTCAACAGTAATAAGACGATTAAAATATTTTTTTTTTTCCTTGTTTGATAAATGTATGTGAAGTATTGTCCAATTGTTATAATTCCATATGACCACAGTAAGATTATCTATCTTAAATTTTCTGTTTGCTAAAAGCCAACTTACTTGTAGTGACAAGGGAACATTTTGTTAAAATGGTTTGGAAATTTATTAAATAGTATGGAATACTAGTATGGTATGGTACACTTGGTACATATAATCCAAAGTGACCACACTATTATTATCTGAAATATTCATATTCATGGTACTTTCTGATTACAAACATAAGTACTGTGATACCAAAGGGAATTTATCTTTGGATGGACCAAAAGGTATAAAATGCGGAGTATCCAAAATTTATAGAAATTTACGAATATTTATTCTACTGATAGTTTCACATTCTGGACTGTGTAGCAACTAAAGGCCTATATATACCCATATTCGTTTTGTATGGAAGCTCAACTTATTAATATTCTCTCCATATTTTCTCCAAACTCGTGCTATCTGCCATCAAATAGTTTTCATTTCGAGGAATTATCTTTTCATTATGATCATGGGCATACACAGATTTTCAAAAATCTTGGGTGGCAAGCTGGGAATGCCAAGATATCCTTCAACATCAGCAATAAGTGATGTACCAAAAGGCTGTATCACCGTATATGTTGGTGAAAGCACAAACAAGAGATTTATAGTTCCATTAGCATATCTTAAACATCCTTCATTTCAGACCTTGCTTAAAATGTCGGAAGAAGAGTTCGGCTATGTGCATCCTATGGGAGGACTAACGCTCCCATGCAAAGAAGAGACCTTCATTGAAGTCACCCATGATATAGCAGAATTTGTTGATAGAAGATGACTTGCTTTGCATTGCATGTCATTCTACACATCTAGAAACTTTGACTTTTAGGCTTTGTAATATTTGAAATTTTGAAAATTTTGGAGTAAAAAAATGTTGATTTTTTGAATTTTTAATATTTTTTTTTACCTTTTCTGAATTTTATTTTCCCTTTTTTCGACTTTTTTGAATTTTGTTGACTTTTGTTGACCGATTAATCCCGTCAAACCCGATTAATCCTAAATTTCCTATTAATACTCTAATCCTTGATGGTTGGAGAAAGCCAAACGATTAATCCACGATTAATTGTACATTAATACCGATTTCTGCAACCATTGTTTTTAGTTAATGGGAAAATGATTTACGAGCCCAACAAAGTTTCCAAACTGTTAAAAAACTCAAACATGTTTTGTCTGTTCAAGGAAACCCAACTAACTTAACTTTTTGTCTAAAAAAAACCAACTAAGTTATGAAAGTTAAAGAAAAGGAACAAATTTGTTGGGTAGTCTTAAACAGACAAACCATGATTGATGTTTTTTGAATGGTTTGGAAAATTCGTTGGGCTTGTAAATTATTTTCCCTTAGTTAATATAGCTCATTCTTCTTGTTGTTCAAAAAAATCTTGGAGAAAAGGTGCCATAGAAGCCATCTTATCAGATCACTGTTGTTGTAAGGCATATTTTCATGCTTAAGAGATCTAAGAGATGAAATTGGAAACCTACAATGTCTCTAGGTCTAAAGTCCATATATTGTGAGAGTCTGGTCAAAAGACATACCTTCGACTTACCTAACGCGACTATGCAATTTATATTTTTATTTTACCTTAGGGCAAGCCTAGGATTAGTTTAATTTATTAAACTAATTTTATTTTATTTTAATATTAACATTAATTTTTTTTAAAACTACTTTAAGTTGATTTTACAATTAATTTATTATTTTTTTTAATGTTTTTTTAAATTAATTTTATTTTATTCTATAATTAAATTAAAATTACTAAAAGTACGATGCTATTAATAACCTAATTAAAGCTAAAGTTGTAATGACCAACATTAAGTCACTAAAAGTATGTTGCTATTAAGTTGGTTTTATAACTAATATAATTTGATTTTATAAAGGTAACTTAATTTGATTCTAAAGGTAAATTAATTAGATTTTATAATTAATTTAATATTTTCTTTTTTGTTATTAGTTTAATTTATTAAACTAACTTTATTTTATTTTAATTTTAACATGAACTTGATTTTAAAACTACTTTAAGTTGATTTTACAGCTAATTTATTATTTTTTAATATATTTTTTTTAAATTAATTTAATTTTATTCTATAATTAAATTAAAATTACTAGAAGTACGTTGCTATTAATAACCTACTTAAAGCTAAAGTTGTAATGACCAACATTAAGTCACTAAAGGTATGTTGCTATTAAGTTGGCCAAACATTAAGTCACTAACAAAATTAAGCACTTTGAAACCATATACAATACATTACTAGAAGTAAGTTTCTATTTATAACCTAATTAAGCCAAATGTATACATCTAATTTGCATATTCCAATTTCATACAATTAAGCCAAATGTATATATCCAATTTCATACAATTTTCATATTCCAATTTAATTCAATTTGCATATTCCAATTTCATCCAATTAAATACATCCAATTTGCATATTCCAATTTCATCCAATTAAATACATCAAATTTGCATATTCCAATTTCATCCAATTTCATACAAATATATACATCTAAATTTCATTTTAAGGCAATGTGGTATAAACATAAATTTCAATCCAATAAATGTATATATTCATGTCATTTTTTTTTCAATGTAATCTAAAGATAAATTTCAAAATATACACAAAATGCATAATAAAATTCCTACAAATCTGAAAAAACACACAATCCAACAAAATAATCCAACAAAATGCATAACCACTTCATATCTTAAAATACAAACCTCATCACTCAACAAAATTGAAAAATACTCACAATTTATCATCTAAATTAACTACAAAACAGAAAAATCATAAAAAAGATGAGAAATTCGACCTTGATTGGGGTAATTTCGGAATTTGACTAAATGTCTCCGGTTTTTGGGGCTGTGGCGGTATTGTGGCTGTCTTGGGGGAAGGAGGGGCTAACACCGGTCCAAGAAGCAATTCCTAGTCCACCAAGTTGGAAAAAATTCATGATATTGAAGAAAGAAAGAGAGAAAAACGAGAGAAATGTAAGAAAAAAAAAATGGCAGAAAGGTAATCTGTGAAGGATATCTGCGTTTAGCATTAGCGGCGATAGGCAATAGCGGCGACGATAGGGCATTAGCGGCGACAAGCGGATGGAAAAGTCAGCGCACCTTTCCGCTTTCCTCAACAGCCGTTAGATTGAAAATAAATCGGACGGATGGGGTGAGAATGACGCGGATCGCTAAATCAAAGCATTAGCGGTGACACCTAGCAATAGCGGCGACATGTAACGCGTCATTTACATGGCACCGCTATTGCTAGGTGTCGCTGTTAATGCTTTGTTTTCTTGTAGTGATAATATTTGGATCAAAGGCCAAGAAATATATAAAATTATTCAAAATTTATATATACAAACCGTTTTACGGTTACTTAAAAATATTAAATAAAAAAATAACTAAAACATACAACCTTTTTAAAAATAAAAAGCGCACAACTTATGGTTGTCATATTTGATTTTCAATTATTCTAACGAACAAAATATAAAAATGAAAACCACAAAATTAGTTATCATAAAATTTGTAATTAACTTGCAAACGAGTATGAAGTTATCAAATTAACAACCTTTATTTCCAAAAGTGATGACCATTAAACTCAGAAATTTGTCGTTTGATAAATGTAAGTGAAGTATTGTCCAATCGTTTTAATCCCATATGACCACACTAAGATTATATATCTTAAACTTTCTGTTTGCTAAAAACCAACTTTCTTGTAGTGACATGGGAACATTTTCTTAAAACGTTCTGGAAATTTATTAAATAGTATGGAATACTAGTATGGTATATATCGTACAAATGGTATAATCCAAAATGACCACACTAAGACTATCTCAAATATTCATATATATGGTACTTTCTGTAGGTACTGTGATACCAAAGGGTATTTATCTTTGTATGGACCAAAAGGTATAAGGTGCGGAGTATCCAAATTTTTTAGAAATTTATTACGTACATTGATTCTATTGATAGATTCACAATCTGGACTATGTAAGTATAGGTCTATATATACGAATATTCATTTTGTTGGAAACTCAACTTCAGCTTCACCCCAAATTTTCTCCAAAATTCGTGCACTTTGCAATCAAATAGTTTAAAATTTTAAGCTAGCTTTTCATTGTGATCATGGGCATACACAGATATCCAAAAATCATGTGTGGCATGCTAGGAATGCCAACTTATCGTTCAACCTCAACAGCCAGTGATGTACCAAAAGGCTGTATCACCGTATATGTTGGTGAATGCACAAAGACAAACAAGAGATTTATAGTTCCATTAGCATATCTTAAACATCCTTCATTTCAGACGTTGCTTAAACTGTCGGAAGAAGAGTTTGGCTATGTGCACCCTATGGGAGGTATAACGCTCCCATGCAAAGAAGAAACCTTCATTGAAGTCACCCATGATATAGCAGAATTTGTTGATAGAAGATGACTTGCCTTTGTATTGTCATTGTAACCAACTAGAACCTTTGACTTTTGGGCTTTGTAATTACCAAGCGTCTTGACAAAAGTATATTAATTTCTAGCTAGCTAGATTACATTGCTATATCTATGGGTTGAAAAGATGGTTTGTTGATTTCCCTCTTATTGTACAATAGGCAGCCTCTTCTAGCCATTGCAAACCGAAAATTTGTTCAATTAACACATGCGTTTAAGGGCATTTATTGTTCGAATAACCATAGATAGATTCTTGTTCACTTGTATCATCCAGTTACAGCGACGCTGATGTATTTAAATTCCCCTAAATAATTTCATCATATTGATTTTATACTTATCTAGAGGCCTATTTACAACAGACTTTCTTTTGAACGAAGCCTCAAATTATTGAGCTTCATATAGAACTAGAAGATAGAGGATGAAGTATAATTTAGTTACAATTCGATAAAACTGAATAACCTGATTTTTGGCAACTAATTTAATGATAAAAAGTTGCCATTAAAAGTAACAACACAACTACAATCAGAAATTTAGTTTCTGGTAAGCGAAGTATTGTACAACAGGTATAATCCACACTAAGATTATCTCAAATATTCATGTTTCTGGTACTTTCTGTTGGTACTGTGATACCAAAGGGAACTTATCCTTGGGATGACCAAAGGGTATATGATGCGGAGTATCCAAGATTTGTAGAACTTGTCGGACTTTGATTCTATTAAAAAAAATTTCTTTGTTGATATTGTAGTGATTAATTAGAGGCCTATTTACACCCATACCTATTATGTATTAGCTCTCAAACGTTTATACTTCTCTCCAATTTCTCTGATGCACACTGTCATTAAACAGTTTCGAGTTGGAGGTTAACTTTAATTTAATTGTCATCATTGGCATGCATAGACAGAGACTTCCAAAAATGATGACCGATAAAAAAAAAAAAAAAAAAAAAAAAAAAAAAAAAAAAAAAAAAAAAAAACTCTTAATTTAAAGACTTTTTAAGGAGGTATGAAGGCGCTCGTAAATTAGCTTCCAAAACAGAAATCAGATTCTCATTGAACCAAATCAAATAAAAAAAATAATCTTAATATCAAACACGAATCAAATACATAATTGAATCCTCTTCCTAATGCCCTTCGATTGCCATCTAAAACATAAATTTTTTTTTAAGTAACTAGGGTCCTATTTTAATATATCCAGTTCCAAAAAAAACAAGTAATTAGGTTGGATTATGTATTAAGTTAGCGCCAAGTGCTATTTAGTATTTCATTAATAGATCACCATCCGTACAAGGTATATAAGAAGACAATAACAGGGCTACTACTACATTCATTGTTGAATGGTTCATAAATTTTGAACCATCGGGGACTAATGCAAACTAGGTAACAAAATATAATTAAGAAAAAATTGCAAAAATGATCCCTGTGGTATGCAAAATTTTTGGGTTTTAATCCAAACCTCGAGTTTTTTGGAACCATAGTTCTTTTGGAGTGGTTTCTATGTGGTTTTGGTCCCTGACTTAACTCCCGTTAAGTTGGAACTGTTAAGCCCCCCTCACGTGCCTCACACGTGAGGGTAATTTCGTCATTTCATATGTCAGGGACCATTTTTGCATAAACGTTTTTTTGGATTGATTGACATTTACCCCTCATTTACTTTCCCCAACACTCGTCAACTCCCCAACTCCCTCCTTCTTGCTTCTGCTCCATTGAACCTGCAAAAAACCCTCGTTGCTTATCCAAACAAGATAATCGACACTACACATATAAGGGCATACGTTTAATACGAAATGGTGTTCGTAATGTGGCATATCAGACCAAAACGCGAAGTTGTTGATGTATCAACTGTATATGGTAAGCTGCTCTGTTTTCTTTAACTTTTATACTTTGCATTTTCTTATTGATTTAGAACAAAAAAATGCAAAATTTTAACTTTGTTAATATGTATAATTTTGATTTTTAGCTGGTGCACCCACATGGTTTAGTATTAAGCTTCATCACGGTGGGAAATTTACTAAATTACCTGATATAAAGTACATTGGAGGTGAAGTGCGTTATGTTGATTATCTGGACATTGATGAGTTTTCTGTGCATGAACTTGATGCCATAATGCTTGACCTAGGTTACCCAGACCCACGAAATTCTGAATTCGCTGATGAATCCCCAGTTATATACTACCATTTTAGGATACCCAATGGTGACTTTCAATTTGGTCTTAGAGCTTTAGGGAATGATCAGGATGTGATCAACCTTTCTAAATACATTGCACATAACAAGCTGATTGAGGTGTACACAGAGCATGGAAAGACAAATTTATTGACTTACTTCATGTCACCAAATGCAAAGGGTAAAGTTGTCATTGAGGAATTACCAGAAAATGATGATCAAGGGGCTGAAGTTGAGGGTCAAGTTCATGCAGATTCTCCAATGAAAAATGTGAACCATGGTAATGGTGAGCCTATTGGTGAGTTCATGTCTCTGATTCTTTTTGGGAGTAAGAATGATAGTTTCTCACCAGAGTATAGAAGGGGTAGGGTTGGGAATTCCAAAATAGGTGAAAGTTCTTGTAGCAAAAGGCTTAATTTAGATTATATTGATGAGGTTGTTCACATTTCAAAGGAAAAGAATGATGATCTGGATGGTTCAACTAATGTTCAGGAGGCAGCAACTTGTGTTCATATTGATGAGATGGATGGTGTTAGGGAGGCTGCAAATGTTGTTCAAGAGGCATCAACTTTTGATGAAGAAGGCTACAACACCCCCCTGTTAATAATGCTGATGAACAATTGAATGAGTTATTTGATAACCTTATGGAAAATTTGATTGGGAGTGATGATGATAATGCAGAGTATGAAGGGGATGGAGAATCTGAAGAGGGTAATCAAGAGTATGAAGAGGATGATGAATCTCAAGAAAGTGATCCAAATTTTGAAGAGTATGATGAATCTGAAAATAGTGATCCAGAGTATGAAGAAGATGAGAGACAAATAGAAGATGAAGATCATATGGATGACATAATGGATGTTGACAACAATATACAGGATGTGGATGTGGACATGGGAGACTTCACTCTCAATGTTGAAAGTGATGTGGAAGGTTCTTGTATAAATGTTGTTCATGGGCATGAACCTGAAGATATGGAAGTGATTAACAATGAGGAATTTGAATCTTTGGATGAAGGATCCGACCAAGACAGAGAGAGAAGAGCTCTTATCAAGAATTTGAGAAAAGAAAAAAGGTGCAGTCTTGGGGTAGTACATAAACAATCTTTTTCAGTTGGAGATAAATTTAATAGTAAAAAAGAATTAAAGGAGGCAATTGATCTGCATGCACTAGAATCAAGAAGGAATCTTTTCTTTAAAAAAAATGACAATGTAAGGCTTAGGGCACAGTGTAGAGGTGTTGTACCTGTCACCAATAAAGGCCAAGTGGGTAGTCAAGCTACCACTTCAAAAAGAAAGGGTAAAGAATTAAAGACACAAAAAGTAACATGTGGTTGGTACATTCATGCATCTAGGTCAAATCCTGAATCCGACTGGTTTATAAGGACCTTAAACCAAACTCACACATGTTTGCAAACAAGGAAACTCAGGGCTTGTACTGCTTCTTTAATCAGCAAGAAAATCTTTGATCAAGTTGAGGCGAATCCAGATATACCTTTGAGAGCTATACAAGATCACTTTCAAAAGACCTACCAAGTGGGTGTTAGTATGGACAAGGTGTTCAGGGCAAAGGATAAGGCAAGAAAGCATGTAACTGGTGACTACACAAAGCAGTATGAACTGTTGAGGGACTATGTTCTCGAACTTCAAGCCACCAACCCAGACACCACAGTGAAAATAGATGTATGTTCTGAGCCTAACCCTGATTCCCCAACTAGGCAGTTTAGAAGAATTTATGTGTGCTTGGGTCCACTGAAAAAAGGGTTCAAGGCATGCCTTAGGGACTTATTAGGTTTTGATGGTGCCTTCATGAAAGGACCATTCCCTGGGCAAGTCCTTTCAGCAGTTGGTCTTGATTCCAATAATGGAATTTACCCATTAGCATATGGGATTGTTGAGTCTGAAAACACAGAAAGCTGGAAATGGTTTTTAGATAACCTTGGGGATGACTTGGACCTTGGAAGAAACTCAAATTTTACTTTCATAAGTGACAGGCAAAAGGTAAAGTTGGAAGTAGTTTTTATACATTTGGTCATTTAAAGTGTGGTTGTAAGTTAATTCTAATGATTGAAAATTAATTTTTGCAGGGTTTACATACTGCAGTTGAGCAAATTTTTCCCAATGCTGAGCATAGATATTGTATCAGACATATTCATGACAATATGAGGAAAAGATGGAGGCAAACAGAGTACAGGGACCACTTATGGAGGTGTGCATCAGCTACCACCATTCCTGAGTTTGAACATTTGATGAAGGAGTTTAGTCAGTATGATAAGGAGGCATGTGAATGGTTGAAGCAAATTCCTCCTAAACATTGGGCAAGGAGTCATTTTTCAGGTAAATCTATATATTCCAATTTGGTCCTTATGTCTTTCACTTAGTGAACTGTTTTACTTGTATGTGACTTGTATTAAATGTTTTTTAATTGTAATTTACACACAGGAAGAGCAGTTTCTGATGTGTTGATATCAAACATGTGTGAAGTGTTTAATGGGAAGATAGAGAAAGGAAGGGATAAACCTGTCATTGGATGTTTAGAATTCATAAGGGAGTATCTAATGAAGAGGATATGCAATGTCATGAAGGAAATGAAAAAGGCTAAAGGTCCACTAACACCCACAGCAACAGACATCCTAGCTGCAAGAAAAACAGTTGCTTCACAATACATTGCTAGGTGGAATGGGGGAGACAAGTATCAAGTCACAGGAGCTTTGCAGGATCAACATGTGGTTGATGTTAGGAACAAAACATGCACTTGCAGAAAATGGGAATTAATTGGAATTCCATGCAGACATGCAATTGCAACTCTGAATGAGATGAGTAAAGACCCAGAGGCTGAG